ATGGTCTGTAAACCTGGCAACAGAAATAAGAAGCAAAAGCATTGTAGCAGGAGGGGTAATGGAGTCAAAAGAAGGTATTTTCGTGTTTTCCATTTAAAAGATGGGAAGATCGTGGGGGTGCCTGGGTGGCTTGGTCAGTTGAGCCTCTGACTCTGGATTTTGGCTCAGGTCATGATCTCAGGGTCATGAGACGGAGCTCCACATCAGGGCTCCAGAGTGGAGTCCAAGTCCTCTTGAGATCATCTCTCTCCCTCTGCCTCTGCCCCTCCCTCTGCTCACGCACTCACTCACTCTCTCAATAAAATCTAAAAAAAAAAAAAAAAAAAAAAAAAAAAAGATGGGAAGATCTATGTATAGGCACAAGAGGAAAGAGGCTCACTAAACTAGATGCTAAAGACATGGAAAGTACTGACAAATGGAGAAAAAAAGTGAAATGGAAAGAGAGCAAATTTCAGAGAGGCACAGACATATCTGCTCTGAGATCTGATGGAAAGAAACAAGAATGGAGGCATGCACAGATGCACTGGAAAAAAGTGAGGCTGCTCTTGCAAAATGGCTCTGCCTTCTCAGTTGGTTTAAAGGGATCATTATGCCTAGTACTTCCAGCTCTTCTGAGTAAGGCTAACACTCTGCTGGTTAACAGCCATGTTTAAAAGGTTAACTGAAGAGGCTACTACATACAAATAATCTACAAGGTAATCGGGAATACAGCATCAATTTTTCAAATATGGTATTCGGGGAGGAGGGGAAGAGACTCTCAGGATCAACCCTAGCTTAGGGGTCACCTTTACACCATTCAGAGAAGACCAAGCTCTAAAATCCATTCTCTCTTCCCCTCCTTTGGCATTCCATTTCCAAAACACAGATAAGGTCTGACAGCTGGCAAAGACATGTGTCTCATGAACAATAAGACTCTCCACCTTTATTTTATTTGTCCAGCTAAGAGATAAGTGGGTGAGAAAGATGTATATAAACTGATCACTTGAAATGTAGCTCCTTGTGTTCTCCTTACTACCCTTTTCCATTGATGCATTCCTTCCCAGCTCCAGCCCCATGCACTAATTCTCAATGTTCCATGTGATTTGAGATCCTTCACTGTGTTCCATGAGATTCTGCTCCACCAAGAAAAGCCCCAGACTCTTTTTTTCACTGTCAAAATCTATTTCATATACATCATGTTCTTAACAACCAGACACAGAACTCCCAACAAAACTGCTTAGCATCAGTATCTACACTGCCTATGTCTGACTTTCTTTGCAGGTAACAAGGACAGTTTCTTCCTTGGGCAGCTCAATCTTAGATTATGTCCAAAGTCAGTTACAAAAATGGTAAGTCAGTTGTAGAGAAGGTCATATATGCACACGTGTATGTGTACATATATTCATCATTACAAGTGAATGGCAAAATTATATAACTTGTATACATAAAATATCAATTTTGCATTTCTCTAGTGAATAGTTCTCTTCTATAGATTGACAAAGCCATGTGATTCATTAAAAAAATGTAAGTGGTTGAATTTTAAGAGATTTATAGGGCTTGTTTAACCCTGGGAATCTAATTATCATCAAATCTACATTTTGCTTTTGTGTTCTGTTGTGGTTATTTATTGTTCTTTGTAATTTTATAGTTTTTTATTTTCTAGTAAATGCTTTACACTTCAAAATAAATTGCTAATTCAGAGACTGCTATAAAAATAGAAATTCTTTTGGCTTAAATAGAAAGAGGAACAGATATTTGACACCACTATAGAGCATAACTTATATGCTAGTATATTAATCCAAAAGGGTGAAGACCAAGGAAAGAATCTGCTTGCTCATTAAAAATGCAAACATTACCTCAGTCATACGAATAGCCCCTAAACTCGCCCAGTTACTGCCTCTGCAGATCACCCACAAACATTAGCACTACATCACATGACATTATGGAACAATAGTGAACTCTGTGGAATACTTGAATATATTGTTTTGAAAGAATAAATTGTCATTAACTTGAATAAAAAGCTTTCTGAAATCAGACCTGGGGGTACAGCCCTCACTGTGTGGCCTTTTTATTACTTTGAGAAATAGCCTCATCCTGAAAGCAGGAAAGGGTGAAAAAAAGAGATTAGAGTATAAAGGCAACAGTGATGAGTGGCCCCTCCAGCGGCCCAGCAGGCAGACAGCAGGGCTCTAAATTACCAGGCAGAACAATGTCAAAGCAGGAGGCTCTGTCACAAATGCTGCACCTAAAAATCCAAACAACCCCACACCCACCACCCTATTTTCTTTTACAGCCTAGTGATCTTTTTAACTGGCTTCCGTAGAATTAGAAACAGTCTTATTCTAGGTACAAAACAGTGCAAAACTCGATGTCCTAATGCCATCCTGAGATGAGCTATCTCTTCTAGCCAGGTGACCTGAAATAATGCATTCACGCTTTCTGGGCCGCAATGTTTTAATCTATAAAATGGGAAGAATAATAACATCACGCAGAGGTAGAAGAGGGAGGGGAGGGGCCAACCCCTACTATTATCATAATTATACTTATTATTTTCACCAAACTGTCCCCTCTGCCTGTCTTTTCTAGTCACAAAGAGGGTTCCTCTTCACCAGTGAAACACCAGCAGTCACTTAAATGCTTGCTGGCTTTTTCTGTTCCCTGTGGTCTGGCCCCTGCCACGTGCTGCCACTTCTCTTTCATGCCACCCTCAGAAAGAAATTTCTCCATTAGCCAAATCTCAAATGGCCTCTTCACTGCAACCTGCCCCTCAGGTGCCTTCCTCTCTCTCACACACCTATTCTCAATGTTCTCAACTACCAACGTTCAAGAGGGGGAAAACAAAGCCAGGACACAGAGCCAATGGGGAGCCAAGTCCCAATTTAAATCCAGGTGTCGGGTGCCTGGATGGCTGAGTGAGTTAAAGCCTTTCCCTTCGGCTCAGGTCATGATCTCAGGGTCCTGGGATTGAGCCCCACATCGGGCTCTCTGCTCAGCGGCGAGCCTGCTTCCTCCTCTCTCTCTGCCTGCTTGTGAGCTCTGTCTGTCAAATAAATAGATAAAATCTTAAAAAAAAAAAAAAAATCCAGGTGTCAATGCCACCAAGTCCAACTGCATCGCATTAACTATACTGTGATAATTATTCACGGTTAGGGTTCCTGGTGATGATTTTAAATCTGAGGTTAGTTTCCCTGAACACCAAGCCTTCTAGATGCTTCCTCTACTAGTCAATTCATTACCATAAAATAAGAATGGTCTTTCCAATGCTTAGAAAAGAAACACTATCCAAGGAAATTATTAAATATATCTCAAAATGAGGTTTTTGGGTTTTGCTTGTTTTTAGCATTTCCCTAAAGTGAGGACAAATATTGGCCACATAAAGGTCTCACCCAGGACTAGAAGACTTTGGGGGGACACAGTTAACAGGGAGAAGAGGGATGAGTCTGGGTACTTGTGGGCAGTCCTATGTGCAAGTCCGGAAAGCCTAGAGTACAGAATACAAGTGTCCACCTCTAAGTTTCTACAAGTAAATTAAATCTGATTGTCTTTTAATCTGATTGTACAAAGACACGTGGAGATGGAAATTTCATTAATGCTGGCTTCTCTGGAGAATCACATTATCCCTCAAAATAATGAAAACTATTAGGATGTAATGTGTTGTTTCAGGTAAGAACCAAAGAGTTTCCCAAAGTCTAACACTGAGACCTGTGGGAAAACATTGAAAGCTTGTATTTACTCACCTGTAAAGCAGATGAGGTGCTGGGAAGAATGAGATGCTATATGGCATCTATAAAGCACTGTTTTTGTTTTTTTTAGGTATAGTGCAAAATAGTGTAGCAAGTATTTCTCATCAGTTCAAGTTCAACCTATCTGCCAACTGTCTGATCTGACACAAATCATTCAAACACATTTAACAACGTAAGGATTACAAGGGGATGGCATGTGTTTGTGTGTGTATGGAGGGGGTATCTTCTAATACATATAGCTATATAAATTTAAGAAGTTTTATATTGTACCAGGTTAAGTAAACCAGGGTCTTCTGTTCATTTATATTTCCTAATCTTTCGGAGGAAAAGAGAGACAGAAAGAGGGATGGATTCTTACAGTAGAAAGCCCGTTTAGTTAATAGAAAATCATTGCCTTTACTTGATGGATATGAAAATGACATAAAATAAATTAATATAAAATTAAAATATATAATGAAATTATCAGGTGAATAATAAAATTCATATTAAAAGGTAACTCTGGGTGGCAAAACTGGTTGAGCATCCGACTCTTGATTTTGGCTCAGGTCATGATCTCAGGATCAAGCCCTGCATCCAGCTCCTCACTCCTCTGGAAGTCTGCTTGTCTCTCTCTCCCTCTGCCCACCACCCCCAACCCTGCCCCACATGGCTCATGCATGCTCACTCACACTATCTCAATAAACAAATCTTTTTAAAATGCAAATAAAAAAAGGTAACTCTACCTCAGTATACACTAATCAATATATGCTAATCCTCTCATATATACCCTCTCCTCTCATATAAAATGGTTGTCAGGATTAATTGTATCAAGAATAGAGGTTTTCTCCTTGGATCTGAAGTAGTCAAGCCATAGTCCAGACCACAAATAAGACAAAAATCTTTTCACAGAAATGTAACAGGTAAAGGCTAGCTCCAACATCATTCATTCATTCATTTACTCAGTCCCTACTTTATACCAGGCTCTATTCCAAGTCCTGTGGTTCAACAGTGAACAAAACACAGAAAGTTCTTACCATCATAAAGCTCACATTCTAAAAGGGAAACACAAACACTACAGAAACAAGTAAGCTACACAGAAGATCAATGATGATTATTAGAGAAAAACAGCCAAAAGCGTTTCAAATCTAAATAGGGCAGCCAAGGAAGGCTTCACCAAAAAGATGCTATTTAAGTAAAGACCTAAAGGAGATGAGGAAGGAACATGGCCATCTGGGGAGAGTAGTGTGGCTATGTGAATCTTTCCAGCAGGTCCAGATAAGACAAAACCCAAATTCTCACCTTTCAAAAGCGGCTGGAAGGTTGGAATCTCTTGCAACTTGATGACATCGGGATCGTTGCTGACATTCCGTGAAGGCTGGGAGCCTGGAGCTACAACCACAATATCGTCCATCTTGGCTCTATGCTTTGCTGGAGAAGGGGTCACTAAAAGTAAAGTTACACTGTTCAGGAGTTGCATGTTAGTTATCCCCCTCTGCCTCGCCAAAGCTTTTTTTAGTATAGTCATTAAAAAAAATATTTTTACACACACAAAAAATGCTAACTGTAGTTAACCTGCAGATGAATCATAGGGGAACCTCTATTTTCTACTAAAAAAAAAACCCTCAAACATTACAGGAACCTACATGTACGAAATTGCTTTTATCATTAAAAATATCTTATTTTTTCAGCACCCAAAAATATAGGTATGTTGTGTTTTTATAATTTTTATTTCTTCAATCCTACTGACATTGTCCCTATTTTACCAATGAGAAAATGAGGGTACAAAATTAGGCTGTGACCCGCCCAAAGTCAAGAGTGCTAGAGAAAGAGGAAAGGAAATGGAAGTCTACGGGTTATTGGTATACGTGGCCTATGCCTGTGAAACTGAGGTTGCAAGCTGTCCAGCTGCCTTATCACAGCAAGCCAGGTATATTTAATAGATACTATCTATGGGGGAAAAAATCCTGGTTCTCAACTCTGCATGATGGGTCTATTCCTGAGGCACCAGCCCCCTCACCCTTACAGTTACAGGCATTAGTCCAAGAAGGGCAGAAATAAATAGTAGGTTCATTCTATGCTGAGGCCAAATTCAGAAATTTGTGGGACTGCTAGACAGGCAGGTCAATTTCAGGTCCTTTGAGAGAAAATAAAGCATTTGTAGGGAACCGATTCAAACCACCAACAACTTCCTAGACCAAAATATCCTCCGCTTCTCAAATATCTTCCTGGTTAGGGCAAGAATAAACCTTTAAAGCAGTTCACCCTCTAGAAGGTAGTATTCGAAAGCTCATCATAGTCTTGTCTCAAAGGCTGATGCTGGGATGTCACAGAACTGGCCCAACACCTGGAGACCAGAGTCTCCTGTGGCTTGGCATTCACTCTTGTAGAATCTCTGCTACTTTTACTGCTCTTCAAGAAGTACCTCTTAACCTCTTTTGGTAATTTCCCTAACATGTCACAAATCCCAAGCCAGAAATCTTTTCTGCTACAAATTGAGTGATTTCTTCCCCAAATCCCAACGGAAAACAGACTTCACTGGGTTCTAGCTAGCCTCTATCACCGTGCCTATAAAATGGGACAGTAAGGATTAAACGTAGATGCACGTAAACCACTCAGCACAGGGGAATCAGCAAATTCTAATCTATGCCACTGGTTAGTAGGCTACAGTACTAGAATTCATGCTGGTGATCAGTAGGTGAGCAAGCATATTAAAAAGATGCCACACTTCTTCCCCTCAAATATGCTTCTGGACATAGAGGCAAAGGATTAACAATTATTACTGTATTTTCTGTACCAGATAAAATATTCTGGGCCTTCCAAGGAAATAGAAGGATGTAGCAAAGCTAGTAGATGCTGCTCACCATTAAAAGCTGTCCCAATCTAGCGCCCAAAATGAGGGTCTGAACTAGTCTTGAAGGACGCACATCAGTGTGGAATAACCCTCGATCTGTCAGTTTCTAGATTTCTGAATTACAGATCCTACCACGCAGAGAACAGTTCTATGTATTTAAAGACAGTTGTGGATCCTAAGATTATGGAGCACCTCTCATTCTCCATCTGTAAAAAGGGGTTTAAAATGTCATAATATATACAAATACTGAATCATCAGATCGTACACCTGAAAGTAATAGGTTATATTTAGGCTCCAGATTAATCCAATTTGGATTAGCAACCCTAGTGTATCCAGAGCAGTCCCAGCTGTTACGGTTGTGGCTAACAAAAAAAAAAAAAAAAAGAAAGAAAGAAAAAGAAAAAAAGAAAAGAAAGAAAAGCAAGCAAGCAAGCAAGCAAGCATATGATCCTCAATTAAGCATCAGCTGTTTTATTCATTGAGTGCTTACCATATTCCTAGCACAATAATCCCCCCATTCCTATCTGAAACGCTGGGAGAAATCTTAGAAATTCGTACGGGGGGGGAAAAAACAAAGCTGGCTGATTCCTATCATATTAATATTAGAAAGGGAGTTGAGACACCTTCTCAAAGGAAAATGCAGTTTCTGGAGATGTTTGCACCCAAGGGTTCAAAGCAATTGTACACCTGTCACACATCCCTTCTGAAAAGGAACCTCTAAGACCCGCTTTAAGAAGGAACATGTTCTTGGGGGTCCTGTTCATGATCCATGCACGGTGCGAGCCAAATCTCATGGTGTCGGTCGTAGGTACTAACGCCAAAAATTAATTAGGTCGTCCTGTAAAGAGGAGGCGGAGCTGGGAGAAACAGCTGCTTTGAAAATAAGTAACAGGCATCGGCGGCGCACACCCTGGTTTAGCTTGCAGCCACAGGCACTCACTCCCATCAGGGGAAATGACGGCTAGGACAGACGGTGATTTTTTTCTCTTTTTTCAAGAAAAAGACATGGTGAGGGCTTTCTGTGCGTTCCTGTCCGCGGCCCCAGTCCCCATTAGGCTGGGAGGCATACCCCTCCGCAAGCAGACGGGGCCGGCTGGAGGAGGGTGGAAGTTAGGACACCGACCTGAGGAGTTCAGATCGTTGGGTCGACTCTCGACCTCGGAGCTCTGCTCACTGCCCATGGTGCCGGCAGCGGTGGCAGCGGAGTTACGGCGGGCCAGGCGGTCACCGCTCCGGCGGCGGGACGACCGGGCAGGGGCCGGGGACAGGGAAAGGGATGCTACACCGAGTGTGGGCACCGCTGCAGGGCCGACCTGTGGAGACTGCGCGCCCGGCCCACGCAGGTGCGCGGGCGGCGGGGGAGGGGAGGCCCTATTTGGGGAACAGACGAGCAAGGAAGCGCAGCTCGGCTGCACGAAGCTCGCCGGCTTTCTTCGGGAGACCCTAAAGAGAGGAGGTGGAGAACGCCCAGCTTCAGCCGCGCTGGCGGCCGGCGGGCGGCGCCGCTTTCACTCACTCGCTCGTGCGCCGCAAGCTCGCTCCTTCCGGGACGCGGATTGGAGGCGCCGGCAGCGCGCGGCCGTCAGTTCCGGGTTGGAGAGGCCGCCACGCCCCGGCCCGAGGGAGGGCGGGTAGGGTGACTAGGGCGAGCAGCATTAAAGGGCCAGACCGTCTCAAAGCTAGAATCGCCCAAAAGAGTAAGTCCTTTGCTAGTTAGTGATATGTCCCCTTTAAGCATCACCCATAGGTTGGCACTTTATTGTTGTAACTTTATAAAACGACGGGGGGGTGGGGTGACGGGGACGGGGTTTTGTTTTGTGGAGATATAATTGACTTAACATTTTATTAGCTTCAGGTGTACGACCTAATGAATCAGTATTCGTAAATATTGCAGAATTTTATCTTATTTTTTATTTTTTTTAAGAGATTTTATTTATTTATTTACAGAGAGAGAAATCACAAGTAGGCAGAGAGGCGGGCGGGGGCGGGGGGGGGGAGCAGGTTCCCTGCTAAGCAGAGAGCCAGATGTGGGGCTCCATCCCAGGACCCTGAGATCGAGACCTGAGCCTAAGGCAGAGGCTTAACCCTACTGAGCCACCCAGGTTCCCATATTGCAGAATTTTAAACCCTGTTTACAGAAGGAGAAAGGGGTGCTAGATAGGTCTAGAATCCCCAACTGTCTGCATGCAAAGCTTCTGTTTCAGCTCCAGAACCTAGGAGTATGGCAGTGGGCCGCATACAAAAAGTATAGACGGGGCTGGAAGGGAGAGAAAATGAAGAAATAGAAAATGCCGATTCACATGTTAGGGTGTGTGTGCGCCCTCAGAGGAAAGTGGATGCCCCAGAGAACTTTCTGGGGACCTTTACAATTATCCACAAGCCATTCAGAAACCAGCAAAGGTGAGGATAGAGTATACGCAAAATAAAATGGAAACTTCCAGTTTGGGCAGATCAAGGGTGGAGTCCTAGCAATGCAGTGCCGCCAAGGAATTGGGTGTCTCTGGGATTCTCAGAACTTTGTAACTCATTTTATATTATTTCCCTCATGAAATTTCAAGCAAATGGCCTAACATAAATGTCCTCTTTATAAATATAATCTCAGAAGGAATGCCAAGTGAACTGTATGGTTAAGTCCCTTCTACTTTATAATATCATAGACATTTTGTTACCTTATTTACTCTTCAAAGCAACCCTGAGGCCCAAAAACAGGTAACTTCCTCATGGTCACCAGGTAGTCAATGGTGGAAATGGGATTTAGGATTGTCTGATTTCAAATTCATGCCCTTTCCTTTACTCACCATTGCAAAGCTATGAGAAAATTACAAATGAATGTAAATTCTGTATTTGGTGGGAATATGAAGAAAGAACCAAATACGCCTGAGAGATCACGTAGGCTCCCAAGAGGTAGTGTTTGACTATAGTCTTGAGGCTTACATAAACCACCAGGCTGATAGGACCATTCCTTCTTGGAGAGCCCCTGGCTCCTCTCCCAGGGCTGCCATCTTTGGGGGTGGGCAAGAGAGGAGGGAAAAGGGGAGTACAATACATGTTCTGTTTCTTGCTCCACCTTTTCCACCTCAAAGTGAATTTATCTTGTATTCCATGCCCTAATCCATACTGATGTGATGGTGTTTTTATATGCTTTCTGTTGGATGAACATTTTATTCTAAACTGAACATTGTAAACATTCTCAACTGGAGAACGAACAAATACATCATCCTATTCTCTCCTGGCCTGCAAGGTCTTTGCTGAGAAATCTGCTCATCACCTTATAGGGGTTCCTTTACATGAAAGAAAATTTGTTTCTCTTTCTGCTTTAAAAATTATCTTTGTCTTTGATTTTAGACAGTTTTAATTATAACATGTCTTGGAAAAGATTGTTTTGGATTGAAATTTTGGGTTGACCTATTAGCCTCAAAATCTTGGATATCTGAATTTCTCCCCAGGTTTGGGAGGTTCTTCAGCCATTATTTCTTTACGTAAGCTTTCTTCTCCTTTCTTCCTCTTTTCTCTTTCTGTGACTCCAGTGATATGTACATTGTTTCTCTTGATGGGGCCCAGTAAGTACCATAGGGACTTTCTTCATTCCTTTTCATTCTTTTTAATTTTTTGCTCCTCTCATTAGGTGATTTTAATTGATCTGTCTTCTAGTTCATTGACTCCTTCTTCTGTTTGGTCAACTAATCTCTTGCAGCTCTGTGTTAAAATTTTTGATTCAATCGTTGTATTTTTCAGCTTCAGGATTTGTTTTTTTTGTTTGTTTTGTTTTCTGTATCATAGTTAAGATTCTCATTTTGTTCTTGTATTATTGCTCTGATACTATTAAATTGTCTGTTCATATTCTCTTGCTCTCAGCATCTTTGTAACAGTTATTTTGAATTCTTTGTTGGACAGTTCCTGGCTCCCCATTTCTTGGGACTGGAAGTTTATTGTATTCCTTTGCTAGAGTCATGTATCTCTGATTCTTCATGATCCCTGCAGCCTTGGATAGGTGTCTACACATCTAAAGAAGCAGTCTTTATGAACTTTATGGACCAACTTTGATAAAGGAAGACTTTCATCTGTGGGCGGGGGCTTGCTAAGAGCATCCCATGATCCTGGGTCTAGTGGTACACAACACCAAGTGTCAGGGTGTGTGGCAGCTCTGGAAGGAAGGAAGAGAGCATGATGTCTCTTTGGCTTAGGCCACTGGGGTCTACAGCACTGAAGACCATGTGGTGAGCACTGCAGGGGGTCTGCAGTGTCTACAAGGGCTGTTGGGGTCCTCAAGCAGCACCTTTCAGTCCAGCAGCTAGGAACCTTGGACTAGTAGCTGAAGGGGCCTGTGACAGTGTGTGGTGATATGCACTTGGCTGTGGGGGGCCAGCGGCAGACATACATGGAGTGGTGGAAGCCAGAGCAGGCAGCAAGGCCAGTGTCAACTCCATGCTCACTGGCAGCTGCAGGGACTTTGGCAGTCAGCATGCACTATATTATGGCCGCTAGATCTTGTCAGGTACATGGCAGTGGAGACCAATGACCAAGGTTAGGGCTAGGGCTAAGCAGGTGCACAGCTAGAGGGTCCAGCTGCAGGTAAGCACAGTGATGCAGGCCCACAAGCAGCTGCAAAGGCCCTAGCCATCACTGTGCTCTCCTGTGGTTGCAGTCTCCCTTCCGGCATGGACACTGCAGTGGAGGCTGGTTACAGGTATTAGGCAGGTGGTGTGCAAGTGTACAGCTGGAGGGACTAGCCCTGAGTGCACACACACAGTGGAGATCAGCCATGGAGTTCTAGGCTGGTGTCTTGCACTTGCACAGCTGCAGAAGCCTAGGCTGGCTGCCACTGTGGTTTCTGGCCTGGGCTGAGGGTAGGAGGGAGCAGGGAGGGACTCAGGTGGCTGATGTCTGTGAATATGAATGCCTAGGAGACAAAAGCTGGTAAGATCTGCAAGGGGTTCATGGCAATTGTGCTTGCTATTGGTGTCTTTAGGGGTAAAAGCTGCTTGGCTTGGCTGCAGAGTGGGTCACTGTGAACCATGATTGCTCCCATTGCATGGCACTAAGGAAGACCTTGTTCCTAGCAGTGTCTATATGTCTATATGTCTCAGCTTTGCCAGTGGGGTGAGACTGAGGCAGAACCTTTGTGCACTCTGAACGTCTGGGGAAGCTGGTCACCCACTCTGCTCTTCCTATCCTGGCAAGGAGAGTTCCTTCTAGCTGGGAGGTTTCCTCTTGATGCTGAGTTGTATTGGTTTGGAGGATGGGATGACACAGTCAAAATGAAGCTATCTTCCTCCTCCTCATGTGTGATTATTCTCAAGGGTTTGGTTGTTGTTGTACTGTATTGCTGATGTTTCTTAAGTGGACTCCAGAAGTCTTCCAGAGCTATTTTTGTTTGTGGATAACTGTCTAATTGTTGATCTTTTTATGGGGATGGAGGCTGAGATCTCCTATATCACCATTTTTTTTTCCCACTGAGAAAATAAATAAAATGTGGTATATTCATATAATAGAATATTATTTGCCACCAAGGAAGGATGTACTAAAACATGCTACAACAGGGATAAACCTTAAAAACAGTATTCTATTGGAAAAGAGCCCATTACAAAAGATGGTCTATTATAGATTCCATTTATATGAAATATCCAGAAGAGGCACTATAGGACACAAAAATAGATTAGTGGTTGCCGAAAGCTGAGGAGGAGGGGTGTGGAGGGGGAAAGAGGGAGTAACTGTTGTGGGCATAAGGGTTTCTTTCTGGGAGTGGTAAAAATGTTCAAAATTTATTGTGGTAATGATTGTACAGCCATTGCAAATATATTAAAAATGACTGAATTGTACAATTTATTTTTTTAAGATTTTATTTATCAGAGAGAGAGAGTGTGAGCACAAGCAGAGGGGAAGGGCAGAAGGAGAGGGAGAAGCAGACTCCCTGCTGAGTAGGAATGGGGCTCCCCATTCCAGGACCCTGAGATCATGACTTGAGCTAATGGCTGAAGGCAGATGCTTAACCAATTGAGCCATCCAGGTGCCCCTGAATTGTACAATTTAATTAGGTGAATTGTATGGTATGTGAACTATATCTCAGTAAAGCTGTTATCAGAGAAGGATATAGAAATACAAAATGATGTCATTCCTTGAGTCAACATTTACTGGTAGTCTAGAACGTGCCAGATATTTGCTAGAGGTTAGGAATGAATGATCCAACAAGACCTAGTCCCTATCCTCAGAAAGCTAACAGTCTGGTAGTGAGAAGATTAACTGGGCATTTATAATTAAGGATTCTGCTGCAGGGGCTTTAGAGGTAGAAGACATGGAAATGATTCCTTATAGCACCTTTAAAGTCATTTCCACATGAACATGTGACTTATATATACTATTGAACTGTCTTTTGGGGTTTATAAAGCACTTTCATAATGATGAGGGAAACAAAAGCAAGAGAAATGTAGCTTAACTTAAATATCCTTACAGCCCACTGATAGATACCTGAAACATGCAGAGGAAACCACGGCTGCCTTAATATTTATGTTTTATTAAAGACTAAAAGTAACCTTATCTTAACAGCAGCTAGCACCCTCAGGTCCTGAAGGCTTTGCTCCCAAATTCCTTAGAGACTTATGCTATCCCTAACCCCCCATTAACTTTAAAAAAAAAAAAAAAAGATAGATATAGTCAGTCACTCCTTACAATCCCAGTGCAGCTCTTTCCGCCTATGGGCCCTGTCCCTGTGCTATAAGAAAATTACCTTTTTGCACCAAAAAGTTCTCAAGAATTCTCTCTTGGCTGTTCGCTCACAAACCCAAAAACTTCCAAATTTCATCAATAATATTGGCCCTGTATGACAGGCCTATAAAGTAGATTACACTTTCTTGATTTTACATGGAGGTTTAGGAATTTATTCTTGATCACAAGCTAATAAGTCATGAAAGCAGGAATCAAATTTTCTGAAACTTATTATGCATCTCTCCATTCCAGACTAGCTCTTCTCCCCATTTCGCTATATTGCCTGGCCCTCCAGCCACCTAGTCTCCTACACCTTAAATCTGCTTACCCCTACTACCACAACCAACCGTCACAAGTCTGAAGAACCTCTCTCCTTAATTTCTCTTCTAACCTCCACACCCTGTTCAGGGCCTCCTTACTTCTCCCATTTCTTGGAAAGCAGAAGGCCTGTGGCTTTACCTCCTTCAGTCCATCCTACATGTGACTGGCAGACAGAATTTTTAGAATATTAATAAAGTCTCTGGACCTGCCACCGCCCTATTAAGCCTTCAATAACTTCCCATTGCTTCAAGATAAAGTTCAAAATTTGGCATATGAGAACCTTCTTGCTCTGACCCCCGACTTTCTCTCTATTCCTCTATGTACACAGGAAACTTCATGCCAGTCAGGATAAAATTCCCTGAATATTCACACCATTTTCTCTGTCTGGAATATTTAGCCTTTTTCTCTCCCTCTAGCTAACTGAACTTCAGCCTTCAAGGTTAACTTGTGGCTGCAAACTCAAGTCCACACAAAACCTACACTGGTTGTTTATAGCAGCTTTATTCACCATTGCCAAAACTTGGAAGCAACCAAGATGTCTTTCAGTATGTGAATGGATAAACAAACTAGTACATCCAGACAATGGAATATTATTCAGTGCTAAAAAAAAAAAAAATGAGCTAATAAGCCATGAGAAGACATGGAGGAAACCTAAATGCATCTTACTAAGTGAAAGAAGCCAATCTGAAAAGGCTACATACTGTATGATTCCGACCACATGACCTCTGGAAAAGGTAAAACTATGGCAATAAAAAGAACAGTGATTGCCAGGGGTTGTGGTGGGGGAGGGATGAATAGGCTAAGCACAGAGGGCAGTTAGGGCAATGAAAATACTTTGGGTGTGGGGGGTGGCAGGTGGGTGGCTCAGATGGTTAAGTGTCTGCCTTCAGCTCAGGTCATGATCTCCAGGTCCTGGGATCGAGCCCAAGCCTCACTAAACCCTGCCTCCCAGCTCAGCTCTGCCTCTCCCTGCTGCTGAGGCTCGCTTTCTCTCTCTTTATTTCCCTCTGTTTCTCTCTCTTTAATGAATAAATAAAATCTAAAAAAAAAAAAAACTTTGTATGATCCTATAGCAGTGGACATACATCATTACACATTTGTCCAAATCCATAGAGTGTAATACACTAGAAGCAAACATAAGGTAAACTGTGGACTTTATGTAGTTCTGATGTGTCAGTGGAGGGTCATCAGTTGCAAGAAATATACCTCTCTTGTGGAGGATATTGTTAATGGGAAAGGCTGTGCATGTATGGCAGCAAGAAGTATATGGGAACCTTCCTCTCAATTTTACTGTGAATCTAAAACTGCTCTAAAAATAAATAAAGTCTTTAAAAAAATAAAGTTAAATTTTTCATTTCCACCCAGAAGTCCAGATTATACACCCCTCTTTTGAGCCTCCTTAGCATCTTCTATCATTATATTTATTCTTTACACAATAAATAAAATCCTCCCACTATAAGCATCTTGGAGGTAGCTCCAATGTCTTATGGATCTTTAATTTCCCCTGCACGTGTTTAGTACATGTTTTCTGAATAAAGTGTTTTAAAAAAATCTGCCTCCACCTAAATGGGACTTCTAAGGTATCAAGAGAAGAGAACCAAGAATCTTTTCAGGCCATGAGATGAAAAGAGATTTGATTCCAGCTTAAACACCTAGTTCATACCAATAGAAAATTTTTCTTTAATCATTATTTTCATCAGTGTCCTCTGTTCATGGTCATAACTGAAAAACCAATATGTCACTACAAGGATAACAGGTTCATTGCTTAAAACCCTAAATCTGAAACTTCTAAGAGAACAAAACGTCTGCTTTGTGACTGGGAGGGACTGTCCTATGAAGGGCTACAAAGCAATATGACCTTTCCCTACCACACTCTCAAGTATATCCTCTGCAAAGATAAAATGTGTTGTTTACATCAGTTTTTTGCTGCCATAGGAAAATTACTCCAATAGGAAATCACTGAAGTTTACTTTGTTAACTTTTTTTTTTTTTAAGATTTTATTTATTTATTTGACAAAGAGCTAGAGAGCACAAGCAGGGGGAGCAGCAGAGGGAGAGGAAGAAGAAGGATCCTGGCTGAGCAGGGAGTCAGATGAGCAGTGGATCCCAGGCCCCTGAGATCATGACCTGAGCAGAAGGCTCAGAAGCCTAACCAGCTGAGCCACCCAGGAGCCCATGGTAAGGGTTTAAAACCAAGTATTTGCAACATTGTTGTAATTCAAGAGCAGGTCACCCTCTGGATATAACTGGTAAAGTTCTGTTTCATACAAAGGACCTTTGTTTACATGTTCACAAGTATTCTTATTCAACATATGCCTTCTAACAGCTATTGGTTAAAACCAGAATGGCTGTGTCAGGTCTAGAATAGTAAGTTACAATGGCGTAGTGCTTTAGGTTTGCAAGCTCTTCACACCGGCCAGGTAGAGATGTCTAAGGTTTGAATCTTCAGCAAGTTAATTAACAGTGTTTGGTAAAGTTGCATCTGTTTGTACTTACACCGAGGTCGCGGTGAGTGAGCATGGATTTAGAAACATAACTTCTACAACCTATGCCCTAGCAGTTCCCTTCCATTCGTTCACTCAACAAATACATTTTAGTTAAGTATTTATTGAGCACCTATTACATACCAGGTACTATGCTAAATGCCAGGGGACACTATAGCAGGCACCATTATTTTCACTGTTATCTATACCTATAAACAGTAAATCCGGGCGGAATCCGGATGCCTTCGCGGAGGCCTGACTTGCAGGATATTTAACTGGAGAACTGCCAACTCTAATTGAGGACCCTCCATGCCTGAAATGATCGAAACAATTCCCATAATCAGGTCCCAGACAGAAAGCCCTGCGAACTCCGAAGTGGAGAAACTGCGGTCAGAGGTGGCTCTAGGAAGGGGAACTAGACCAGGACACAGCGGGGACAGGCAGCCTGCAGTGCACACGTTTTGTCCTGTTTGACTTTCCTCTGGTGAGATAGCGCGTTCGGTGGCTTCCGGAACCTTGCTGGGGCAGCTGCAGACCTGCGGACACCACCGCGGGTCGCGCCCACGCTCCCCACCCCCCTCTCCGCAAGACGCAGCTGCGGGGCAGGGAGTGAGGGGCAGCTGCCGCCTGGGTCCCGAGCTCAGCGCGATCGCCGGGTGCCTGGAGCCACCGCAAGGAGGGGCTCCCGGGGGACCGCGCTCCGAGTGGCCGGGAAGCAGCTCCGGGTTGCAGGGCAGGACTGTGCCCTCCCCACCCCCCTCCCCCGGCCAACTTTCGGCCGCAGCAACGGAAGCAGGAACTGGCTAAGCACACAAGCTAAGCACACAAGCCGCGGCCGGGCAGGAGCTGCGGAGCATCCCTGCCGCCCTCGCCGAGACCCGCGCGGACCTGCAGCTCTCTGCCCGCAGCGCGGGGGGCTGTCCTCACCCGGGTAGGACACAGGGACCCCAGGGGCCTGTAGCTGCCAGGAAACGGCGTCGCCGCCTTCCCCTCCAGGCGGACCGCCACCGCTGAGAGCGAGCCCCCTCCTTTCCAGGCGCTGCTCTCCGGGAGCGCCAAGACTCGGGCTGGGGCGAGGAAGGGCTGGCGGGAGTGACCGTGGGGCTGTGGACCCGCAGAGGGGACTCTCCAGTCTCGCGCAGCAGCACCTGTCATAAATGGCACTGGCTCCGCGTCGTCTTCAGGAGAGGCAGAAGAATGCTCAGTAAGGGGACATGCATTTCCTCAAAGGGAGGGGAAGGAAATGATTCCCAGTATTTGGCACAGATGTGTACAAGTGCGTTCTAGTGATGATAGTAAGCAGGCGTTAAATACAGGTGCCTCCTCTCGCTTCCACCTGTATCCATTTTCCCCTATCTTTCAATATAATTCAACTTGGCTGTGGACCTTTAAGGCCTAAGGAAAAATGATTAGAAGAATTACATTACCTAATAGTTGGTGAGCACCTTTATCGAGATAAACTCTTGAGGACTTCTTGCAGTCCAGGCGTTAAAAAGGTGCCGCCTACAGAAAGCGCAGCTCCTACCGGATTCCCTCGCATAGTTCCGGCTTCTGGGCAAGAACTCCAGGAGAGATTCCGTCAGAATCCATTCAAAGTGAAGTATTGGCCTGGTTTTCCTCTTTCATTCCTGTTTAGTTTTCTCGAGGGCTAGAAAAGAGATCTGGGAAATATGACAGCCTAAAAAGATAACTTGTGTCAGGATTTTTAACCTGGAGAAGGCATGGGTAATATTCAAAAAGTCTGAGAACTTCAGTGGGAACATTTAGGATTTTAGTAGCCTCTAACTGAAATGTAACATGTCCTCTAAGAGGCAAGTAGTCAAAAGCCATGGTAGAGTTAGAGGCAGCTGTAATTTGCCACCAGCAGGAATCCCAGGTGTTTTCATATCATATTACTTATTATCCAAATCTCCAGTATCATGGACATTCAACAATCCTTTAAAATTAGGGCAGTTATTAGGGGCGCCTGGCTGGTTCAGTCTGTTGGGCCTCTGACTCTCGATTTCAGCTCAGGTCATGATCTCAAGGTTCTAGGATCAAGCCTACTGGGGCTCCAAACTCAGCGTGGAGTCTGCTTGTCCCTTTCTCTCTGCTCTTCCCCCAACTCTCTCTCTCTGTCTCTCTCTCTCTATATATAAAATAAATACTTAAATAAAATCTTCAATATTATGGCAGTTATTAGATATACCACTTGTTATTCAATAGGTTAATAAAGAAACACAAATATCCCACAATTGTTTCTATTTTGACTGAAAATGGGACTAATTTTTAAATTTTTAAAATTTTTTTTTATTTTTTATTAACATATAATGTATTATTAGCCCCAGGGGTACAGGTCTGTGAATCACCAGGTTTACACTTCACAGCACTCACAATAGCACATACCTTCCCCAATGTCCATAACCCAACCACCCTCTCCCTACCCCCCTCCCCCCAGCAACCCTCAGTTTGTTTTGTGAGATTAAGAGTCTTATGGTTTGTCTCCCTCCTGATCCCATCTTGTTTCATTTTTTCTTTCCCTACTCCCCAAGCCCCCCACTTTGACTCTCAACTTCCTCATATCAGGGAGATCATATGATAATTGTCCTTCTCTGATTGACTTATTTCGCTAAGCATAATACCCTCTAGTTCCATCCATGTCGTCACAAATGGCAAGATTTCATTTCTTTTGATGGCTGCATAGTATATATATATATATATATATATATATATACACCACATCTTCTTTATCCATTCATCTGTTGATGGGCATCTAGGTTCTTTCCATAGTTTGGCTATTGTGGACATTGCTGCTATAACCATTCGGGTGCATGGGCCCCTTCGGATCACTACATTTGTATCTTTAGGGTAAATACACAGTAGTGCAATTGCTGGGTCATAGGGTAGCTCTATTTTCAACTTTTTGTGGAACCTCCATGCTGTTTTCCAGAGTGGTTGCACCATCTTGCATTCCCACCAACAGTGTAGGAGGGTTCCCCTTTCTCCACATACTCGTCAGCATCTGTCATTCCCTGACTTGTTAATTTTAGCCATTCTGACTGGTGTGAGGTGGTATCTCATTGTGGTTTTGATTTGTATTTCCCGGATGCTGAGTGATGTGGAGCACTTTTTCATGTGTCTGTTGGCCATCTGGTTGTCTTCTTTGCAGAAATGTCTGCTCACATCTTCTGCCCATATCTTGATTGGATTATTTGTTCTTTGGGTGTTGAGTTTGATAAGTTCTTTATCGATTTTGGATACTAGCCCTTTATCTGATATGTTGTTTGCAAATATCTTCCCCCACTCTGTCAATTGTCTTTTGGTTTTGTTAACTGTTTGCTTTGCTGTGCAACTAATTTTTTCTTTAAAGATTTTATTTATTTGAGAGAGAGCATCTTGGGGGGAGAAGGGAGTGGGAGAGACAGGCTCCCCAATGTGGGGCTCAATCCTAGGATCCTGGGATCATGACCTGAGCTGATGGGAGCCTCTGAAGCAACTGAGGCATCCAGGCACCCCTGAAAATGTTATGCATTTTTCATTTTTCATATAAAGGTTATGAATTTTTCATATAAATGAAATTTTTATCTCATAAGGATTGGGACTCCATTTCATCAGGATTTTTGTAAGGATTAAGTGACATGACACATGTAAAGTGCTTAGCATAGAGATTGACAGGTGAGAAACATAAATGTAACTTATTATTTGACTGTTTATAAAAGCTGGACACGATAGCAAGGAAGGTATTGGACTTGTACTGTTACTGTATATGGATAATATATGTATGTTTGTTTTGCTTTTTAACTATTTTTTAAACTAATGTCTGTTTATATTAGAGATCACTCTAATTCTTTTATTTTATTTTTAAGTTATCTCTACACTCAATGTCGAGCTCAAAATTACAACCCCAAGAGCAAGAGTTGCATGCTCCCCCAACTGAGCCAGTGAGCTGCCCCCAATATTGGGGATCACTCTTTGTGTTGCATGGTTATATGGGTTTTGACAAATGTAAAGACCTGTAACAACCATTACAGTATCATATAGAATAGCCTCACTATTCTAAAAATCCCCTGTGCTCTACCTGTTCATCTGTCCCTGCCTCTGCCTGGCAAACACTAACATTTTTACTGTTGATATAGTTCTCCCTTTTCCAGAATTTCATATAGTTGACAAGGAGTCATACATTTCAGTCTGACTTTTTTCACTTAGTGATACACAATCATGTTTCCCCTCTGTCCTTTTATGGCTTGGTAGCTCATTTCTTTTTACTACTGAATAATATTCTACTGTATGGATATACCACATTTTGTTTATCCCTTCACCTATTGAAGGAACATCTCAGTTGTTTCCAGTTTTGCGCAAAGATGTATAAAGTTAACTATAAACATTTGTATGTAGATTTTTGTAGGATTTGGTATTGTCGGTTTTCTGGATTTTTGTCATTCTAATAGTTGTATAGTGGTGTCTCATTCTTGTTTTTAATTTGCAGCTTCCTAATGCCTATGATGTTGAGCATCTTTTCTTATGCTTATTTGTCATCTATCTCCTTTGGTCTGGTTTTGATACTTTGCCCACTTTTAATCAGGTTGTTTTCTGAGTTTTAAGAGTTCCTTGTACATTCTAGCTACTAGTCCTTTACCAGATAGGTGTTTCGCAATTATTTCTCCCAGTCTGAGTCTTATCTTTTTATTATCCTAGTGTCTTGGGCAGAGCAGATGTTTTCATTTTAATGAAATCCAACCTATCAATTTTTTTCTTTAATGGATTGTGCTTTAGGTATTGTATCTAAAAACTCATTGCTTAATCTAAATTCACTAAGATTTTCTCCTATGTTATATTCTAGGAGGTTTTGGGGGTTTTTTTTAGATTTTATTTTTAAGTAATCTCTACACTCAACACAAGACTCAAACTTATAACCCCAGGATCAAGAGGCACATACTCTACCGAGTCAGCCAGGTGCCCCTCTAGGAGTTTCATAGTTTTGCATTTTATATTTAGGTCTATGATCCATTTTGAGTTGATTTTTATAAATGATGGAAGGTTTGTGTCTTTTTTTTTTGCATATGGATTATTCTAGCACCATTTTTGAGAAGGCTCTCCTTTCTCCATTGAATTGCCTTTGCTCTTCTGTTAGAGATCAGTTGATTGAATTTGTGTGGGTCTATTTCTGGGCTTATTATTCTGTTCTGTTTTTTTATTCTTTTGGCAGAACCACACCATCTTGATTACTGTAACTTTATACTAAGTATTGAAGTTAGGTAGTGTGAGTTCTCCAACTTTGTTCTTCAGTATTGTGTCGGCCATTCTGGGCTTTTCTGGATTCTCATGTAAACTTTAAAATCAAAGCTTTAAGTCACTCCTGGGTGGCTCAGTTGGTTAAGTTTCTGACTCTTGATTTCAGCTCAGGTCATGATCTCAGGGTCATGAGACTGAGCCCTGTGTCCAGCTCTGTGCTCAGCAGGGAGCCTGCTTGCAATTGTCTCTCTCCTTCTCCCTCTACCCACTCCCCCAACATGTGCTCTCTCTCTCAAATAACTAAATAAATCTTTTTTTTTTTTAATCAAAACTTTAGCATGGTTGAGATCCACAGAATAACTTGCTGGGAATTTTATTGGGATTGCACTGAATCTATAGATCATGTTGGGAAGAATGGATATCTTAATGTTGATGAACATGGAACATTTCTCCAATTATTTGGAATTTTTTTGCTATTCTACATCAGGGTTTTGTAGGTACATCTTAAAAACTACTTTAATAACTATATTTAATATAACTGGCTTCCTTTGTAATCATATGTATTTCCAATTTTGCCTTTCAAAACATGTTTCTCAGAAAAGATCCTAAGCTTCTGAGCTTTAGCGGACTATTGAAGGGTTTGGGTTCATGACCAAAAAAGAAGCAAGAGAAGAAGGAGGAGGGTGAGGGAAGAAGAAGAAGATTCAAGAAGTAGGATTTTTTTTTTTTTTAAGAGAGAGAATGTATGTGTGTGTATGAGCAGGAGAGGGGGGAAGAGGGAGAAGGAGAGAGAGAATCCCAAGCAGGCTCCATGGAGCCTGACATGAGGCTCAGTCTCACAACTCTGAGATCAAGACCTGAGTGGAAAAAAGAATTGGTTCCTTAACCAACTGAGGCACCCAGACATGCCAAAGGAGCAGTAATTCTGCTATAGACTACCATTCAGTGAGCAATTTGTATTCTGGAAATGAATGAGTTCCCTCTACTGACCAGCTAACTATTAGAATTAAATTATTAGAGTTACCTGTCTCTGATTTGATATCTAAGGAGAGGCAGCAACAAGAAAGGCAGCCCCAGTTTCCTCATTTATAAATGAGGAAGATAATAGCTTCTTTTGCAGAGCTAGAATAAGGATTAAATAGGACAATATATTTACATTTCACAGCACTTTGCCTACCACCCAATAGGTGATATAAAAATGCCAGTTGTTATCTGAGGCTTTTGAAGGGGCGGGGGTGGGAGGTTGGGGGAACCAGGTGGTGGGTATTGGAGAGGGCACGGATTACATGGAGCACTGGGTGCAGTGCAAAAACAATGAATACTGTTATGCTGAAAATAAATTTAAAAAATTTAAAAAAATGCCAGTTATTATTAGCAAGAAAGAAACCGTGCTCAAGTGTATGATCACTGCTTTATCTGTGACTAGAAATTTTGTGTCCTCTCCCCTCCTGGTTAGAAGAAGGAAGAAGAGAAAAGATTCTAGAACTTGGGGGCAGGCCTTCTGTTTATACCTCTTCCATCATAGACACTGCTCAGCTTTTAAGCATTGATGGGATAGTATATGTGTTTGTGCTAATTAATTCTTTACCAAGTTTTTTTCCCCTAAGATTTATTTATTTATTTTAGAGAGAGAGAGTGCACAGGGGGCAGGGGCAGAGGGTTAGGGAGAGAATATCTCAAGCAGACTCCCTGCTGAGTGTTGAGCCTGACTCAGGGCTTGATCCCATGACCTTGAGATCATGACCTGAGCTGAAATCAAGAGTTAGACGATCAACCAACTGAGCCACCCAAGTGCCCCTCTTTACCAAGTTTTCTTAAAAATTTAATTTAATTTAATTTGTTTTTAGTGTTCCAAGATTCATTGCTTATGCACCACAACCATTATTCCATCCAGTACATGACCTCTTTAATACCCACCACCAGGCTCACCTAACCCCCCACCCCCCTCCCCTCCAAAACCCTCAGTTTGTTTCTCAGAGTCCACAGTCTCTCATGGTTTGTCTTCCAGGTTTTTAATGAAAGATTATCTTGATCTATTAAAAATGAAAAATAAAAAAAATGCTTGTTTATTTCTGTTTTATACATCCAGAATTGTTTACATTTACATTTCCTTTACATGGAAGGAAATGAACTATATCTTCACTAGACTTATTAAAAGAATCAAAACTCATTGCTGATGTTCTATTTTTGTTCTAGAGAGAAATTCCATGATCTATACAATCTTCTTGAAGCAAACTCAGACCAGAGGAAGAATTGTCCTTGACTTTTGAAGACTAAGACTAAACTGAAATTTAAAATGTTCTTTAGGGACGAATGGAGCTTGACTTACACTTGTGTAATAATTTGTTTCCTGACACTAAGGCTGTCTACCAGTCAGAACTGCCCTACCAAGAGTCTAGAAGATGTTGTCATTGACATCCAGTCATCTCTTTCTAAGGGAATTAGAGGCAATGAACCCATACATACGTTAACTCAGGAAGACTGCATTAATTCTTGCTGTTCAACAAAAAACATAACAGGTAAGTAACAGTCTCTTGACAGCTCTTTGTTCCAAGTGTTTAGTGACACAGGCAGCCGATTGACATGGCTACATAGATTATACTAGTGATTTTCAGTGAGGGAGAAATGTGAGTAACAAAATCACTGGGAGAATGTTCCACAAGCGTGTCCTCCCTTCCCCTAAGCTGAGGCAAAGTTTCTGATGAGTGTGTGTGTCTATCGCCCAGGTGTTTGGTTAGAAAAAAGGCTGAAAACCACTGGTGTTATGTTGTCATAGGTATCTAAGATGTTTCCAGTGTCTTAGAAACAAAAATCCTTAAGGGACATGGGAAGCTGTTTGATCTAACAGCTTCACATGACACAGAAGGAAACTGAGGCCCATAGGTTTGATCCATACATTTGCATATTTCAAGTGTCAGACCAATGACTTGAAAAAGAAACCGGGAAACAGTGATCATTTCTCAGGTGTTTACGATCCTGTTTGAACTCCCTAAATGAAAAATAAATGAACAAACAACAACAAAAACCACATGCAATTTATTGAGCTCCAAGTGTCTTCCTAGGTGTTGGAAACAAAACAATGAAAAAGATGGATGAGGTCTCGCCATCAAGGACCCTAGAGGAGCTAGTGGACACTGGACTGATGGTTCTTAACCTCGCTTACTAGCCAACCAAACCATGTGTTTTCTGTTATGTCTTTAGTTTCTTTTCTTTCTATAATGGGGTGTGGTATAGAAAGAAATATATCCATATAATCTTTGTTCTGGGTTCCTGGCACAGAGCTCCTATAAACCTCGCAGTTTCCTGAGGAGGAGCTTCTTTTGTTCTTCATTCTAAGCCCCTTTCGACCACACCTGAGTTTATGCTAATGAGGTGACTCTTAGTGGCTCCCTAGATAGCTTCAGGATGGGTATCGGTCACCAGAGAGACCAAGCCTTGTTTAGAAGTTTGGAACTTTCAGCCCCATACCCCGCTCCAAGTAAAAAAAGAGAGGCTGGAGATTGAATTCAGTCACCAATGAACCAATGTAATTGAATTCAGTCATCAATGAACCCACGTATTGAAATCTCCATAAAAATCCTGAAAACATAGTTTTAGGCAGCTTCCAAGTTGGCAAACTTCCAAGTTAGGCAGCTTCCAAGTTGGCAAACACATCCATGTGGCTGGAAGGGTGGTGCCCTCCAGCCTCCCGGGACAGAAGCTCCTGTAGTCCGACCCTTCTGGACCTTGCCCTTTGTACCCTTCATCTAGCTGTTCATTTCTGTCTTTTTGATAAAATGTCATAGTAAGTGTAGCTTTTTCCTGAGTTCTGTGAGTACTTCTAACAAATTATCAACCTCGAGGTCGCATGTGGTGAGAACCTGAATTTATAGCCACACGGGGCAGAAGCGTGAGTAACCTCAGACCTGATACTTTTAAAAATTATTATTATTATTATTATTATTATTATTATTATTAGAGAGAGAGAGCATGCACAAGCCAGGGGAGGGACAGAAGAAGAGGGAGAAACAGATTCCTTGCTGAGTGGGAAGCCCACATAGAGCTCAATCCTAGGACTCCAAGGTTGCGACCTGAGCCTAAGTCAGACCCTTAACCAACTGAGCCACCCACGCGCCCCCCCATCCCTCCCCACCCCCCACCAAAGGACCTGATACTTTTTACTGGCATCTAAGTGAGGACAGTCTTATGGGACTGAACCCTTAAACCTATGGAGTCTGATGGTAACTCCAGGTAGTTAGTGTAAGAATTGAATTGAATTATAAGACACTCAGTTGGTGTCAGAGAATTGGAGAATTAGTGTGGAAACAATACCACATATTTGATGTCAGGAGGACAAAAAAAAAAAAACCCTTCAGTGGTCTTCTTAAACTCGGCAGTGTGCCTTTGAACATGCTTTATAGACCAATTTATGGAAAATACAGAGATTTAATTTAAATTTCCAGTTTTTCTTTACATGCTATCAACACTTATATGAAATAGAAAATCATCTGCAAACAGGACTGAATGGCCTGTGGGTGTCTGCCGGAACACAGGAAACCTTGTGTTGTTTTTCAGTTCCATAGGGGATGTTTAGTAAGAAATGGGGGTTTGCTGCCTTATTGTACAAGCAAATTTACTGTTACTGCTTTACTGTAAGCAGAGGTAATTGTGGGTCGTATTTAATGGATTTCAGGCTTTTTCCTCATTTATTGAGCAATGGTCTTTAGCTGCTTAGGATTCAAAAAAGCACTTTGACAATTTGCTGGTAGCCACAGACTCTAGAAAAATGCTCATAAGGACAAAGGACATAAGATTTTGCATATAACTTGGGTGGCTTATGGACCTTCCCCTTTACCTATGTGGCCCGCCAAAAATGGTATTACAGAATTATCCCATTGCTGAGAAAGAAAAAGCTAAAGTATATCTCTTATTGCCTGGGTAATGGAGAGTGGACATGATCAGACCCCCACAGAAGCTCACTGAGTCTTATTTCCAAATGTGGAAGTCAAGGTTGATCCTAACCATTGTCTGATTTGAAGATGTGGTGCTGATGGCTAGGTTACGCAGGGTTTCTTTCCCCAGCTTTACTGAGATATATTGGGCATGTAACATTGTGTCAACTAAAGATATAGAGTGTGATGATTTGATGCATGTATGTATTACAAAAGGATTACCAGAACAAGGTTAGTTAACACATGGTTATGTGTGTGCATATGCATGTGTGCATATGATGAGAAAGCATGCATTTTTAATAATTAGCCTACATGCCTCTTAAACTTCATCCTGACCAGGGGTATACTGATCCCTCAGGGGTCATAGGCCAAGAAATGAGATTGTACTAGATTGAGGCCAAAGCCAACTCTAGGCCATGATGAATAGAAAGAAAGCTTCTATTGGGCAGAAGAAGAGAAAAAGAAGCCAGAAATAAAAGCTCAGAGTGAAAAGCTGGAAAGGAAGGAAAATAGAAAAGCAGAAATAAGGAAGAGTAGAAATGTAAAGAAAAAAAAAATCAAAAGAATGATACTGATAAAAGTAAAAAAAATAGACTCTGTATTTCATATGCTACTCAGATTCTTTGTGGAAGGAGGCATGAGAGATTGATGCTGACTTTAGTGATTCTACCCAAGAAAGCCGGACTCATGGCTTCAGAGGTGTCTGAGATAGGTGTCTGCCTTCGGGATACAAGAGATACAAGAAATCATGAGGTTAGATCCATTTCTTAAGTCCCAACTCAGTTGTGGGTTGTGTAAAGATTGGGAAGTCAGTATTTCTGTGGATGTTTCAATGGATATTTTAGCAAATGGAAGTCTTATCTAAAGAATTAAATGTACTATTTTTTAAAAAAAGAATTAAACGTACTATTTAAAATTGGTTTCGCCAGAATTACCTTAATTCTGATATTTAAACCCAAGGTCTTTACAAATTGCTTTATGTGACTAAGGAAGAGGAAATGAGTCAGTGGTCAGCCAGCAAGGGAACACTGTGAACGAAGGTGTTTGTGTTGGGTTGCAGAATAAATCATTGCCTGCTCTTTAAAATATCCTGTTTCAGTATAATGCTTAGGAAGCCTTTCATTGCAGGAGACAAAGCATGTAACTTGATGATCTTCGACACTCGAAAAACAACTAGGCAACCCAACTGCTACCTTTTTTTCTGTCCCAGTGAGGAAGCTTGTCCGCTGAAACCAGCAAAGGGACTTATGAGTTACAGGATAATTAGAGGTAAGAATAACATTGTTCTCTATCTTGGTGATCGAAATTATTTAAGGATGGTTCATGTGAAAGATTTTCTACAAGAGTCTACGTGAAACTGCCAAAAGTGGTCGTAAAAAGGCACACTGGAAAATTCTCATGATTTAAAGTTCAGTTTATTAAATCAAACATCTTTTTTCCAATGAAAAATCTCCAAATGATAATATTTTGTGTTGTATAGCTTTTGTTTTTACCTTCCTGAGATAAAGGGCACACAGACCTTCCATGAAGCATTTTGAAACACCTCTTGAGAACAATGTAAACAACACTGGAATAAGGTCTCCAGGGCCCAGAGAGACTGTTTTCAAAGAGTTAATTAAGACCTACGTGAGTGCAAAATTCCAGTATGTTTGTCTTTAAGTTCCGATCATTTCATAATAACAATGGCTGAAATCCAACACACTGGATTTTATTATCCAGACCTGGAAGGAAGTTCATTCATTAAGTATTTACTGAGCAGCCACCCTGGGCCAAATTCTGTATAAGGCATTGGAAATATGGTCTCCTTATTAAACGTATTGTTTAAAATATAGAAAATAAACAACTACAAGTAATAGAATTATTCAGATATGTCTTGGTGAGATTTTGGCTTGTTAGTTTCTCAGGACGAGATGCTTTCAGTATCAAGTTTCCTTTGATTTAAGTTTTAGAAAAAGTTTTTGTCATGACTCCCTTGGCTATAAATAATATTCTATTTGTTCATCTACTCAATGAACAACAAATGTTGCTTAGCATCATCCAGGTGCCAAACATTTATTCCACTCTAAGGACACAAAAATATAACACTAAAGAGGAAAAACAAGGTCCTTACCTTGAGCAGTTATATTTTAGGAGAGAGACAAGAACCATCATAAATAAGCAATCAAGAAAAATAGAGTCACAAGTGCTATGCAGGTGAGCAAAGACAATGTAATAGATGATCAGTCGGTTAAGCATCTGCCTTCGGCTCAGGACCGTCTTGATTAGGTGATCAGAGGAAGCATCTGTGAACCCCATCTGTAACCCCTCCACTGAGATCTGAACAGGACGAAGTCAGATGTGAGATCTGGGAAGAACTTCAGGCAGAGGAAGTGGCCCATTCCAGTATCCTAAGGCAGAATAGTTTTGGAGTGTTTGAAGAACAAACACTTCAGTCCCAGCTGGTTGACTCATAGTGAACCATACAAAGAGAGATATGCAAGAAGTCTGAAAAGCAGGGAGATCACATAAAGCTTTGGAAGCCAGGGGAGAAAGTTCTTATTTTAGGTCTGCAACAGGAAGCCATTGGTAAATTTTGAGCAGGAATGTAGGGTGGTGTTTTCAAGGTGATATCTCAAAGCTCACTGGGACTGTTCTACTGGGGATGGACAAGCAGCAAGAGGGTGGGAGGGGCAGGCAAGATCCAAGTGAAAGACCATGGCACTGTGGACCAGAGAGGTGGCAGAGGACATAAAGAGAAGTAAATATGTGCCCGTTTCAGAGGTAGAACTGACAGGACTTGCTGATGGTGTGGGTTGGGGGGTGACGATGGGAAAGAGAGAAGCATGAGAGTTGAGTCTTAGCTCGACTGTCTACATGGAGGTTGGCACCATCTACTGAGCTGGGGAAGGTTTGAGGACACTGGTTTTAGGGTTGGGAGGGGGAGTGTAAGCAAGGGTTTTCTCTCTCTCTCTCTCTTTTAAATTTTTATTTATTTATTTGAGAGAGAGAGAGAGAGAGAGAGAGAGAGAAAACAAGAGGAGGAGCAGAGGAAGAGAGACAAGCAGACTCTGTTCTGAGTGTGGAGCACAACATGGGACTCGATTTCAGGACCCTGAGAGCATGACCTGAACCAAAATCAAGAGTCAGTTGCTTAAATGACTGGGCCACCCAGGCACCCCCTCAAAGGTTCTCTCTCTCTCTTTTTTTTCTTTTTTTAAGATTTTATTTATTTATTTGACAGACAGAGATCACAAGTGGGCAGAGAGGCAGGCAGAGAGAGAGAGGTGGAGGCAGGCTCCCTGCGGAGCAGAGAGCCCGATGCAGGGCTCGATCCCAGGACCCTGCGATCATGACCTGAGCTGAAGGCAGAGGCTTAACCCACTGAGCCACCCAGGCGCCCCTCAAAGGTTCTCTCTTGAGTGTATTATGTGTGAGGTACTTTGAGGAATGAACTACCAGGGGGGCCTGGGCACAGACTCTGCCTTGTCCCTTGGGTGAGCCCGTGTCTGAGTTTTGGATAATGAGCCAGATGTATCAAACATTCCTTTAGGCAGGAATGTAAAGCACAAATTATTTTTGTGAATTCTTCCTAACTAATGATATAAACCCAAGCATAAGAAAACTTGCACAAGGTACAAAGTTTCAGTTTTGCAAGATGAAGAAAGTTCTGGAGATGGGTGAGGGTGACAATTGCAGACAAGGTGAATATACTCAGTGTCACTGAGCTGTATTCTTACAAAGAGTTAAAGTGGTACATTGTATGTACAGTAACATGAAATAATGTACAATGTAAAATCATGATCTTTAAAAACATAAGGCATAGAACAAGTGAGGCTTCTCAAAACACTCAAGACCTTCCTTTACATGGACAGTGTCTTGTCCTGTCCCCTTCCCAGAGTGGCTGTCCCTGATGTGTATGGTTCCTTCACTTCGTGCCTGTATATGTGTGTGTGTATATATGTGTGTGTGTGTGTGTGTGTGTGTGTGTGTATGTGTGTGTGTGTACATATATATATATATCCTTGGCTAAAAAGCTGGGGCTTATGGGGTGGTGATGATACTTCTTGCTGTTCCCTATGGTCACCTGGACCATTGCATTAGACAATCAGGAGTGGTATTAGCCAGAGATGGATATCCCAGTCTTATTTTTCAAAGAGGTCGGGGCTCAAGACACTAATTGGAACATTTGTTCTTCTCCTTCTGGAACTCCCATCATATGGAAGCTGGACCATAATGTTCTGCCTCTCTTATCCCTTCTCACTACCTCTTCATTCTGTTTCTTCTTCCATTATCTGTGTGTTTCCCTATGTCTGTCTTCTATTTTGTCATTAAAGCACAGCGGGGTTTTTTTTTTAAGACTTTATTCATTTATTTGACAGAGATCACAAGTAGGCAGAGAGAGAGAGAGGAAAGCAGGCTCCCTGCTGAGCAGAGAGCCTGATGTGGGGCTTGATCCCAGGACGCTGGGATCATGACCCAAGCCGAAGGCAGAGGCTTGAACCCACTGAGCCACCTAGGCACCCCTAAAGCACAGTGTTAAAGAAATTATAGGTAATTTACTCCAGTAATTCAACTTCCATATAATCTAAAGACACAACAACGAAACAAGAAAAAGCTATTGATTTGAAGCTGTTTATTATATAATTAAAGAGTGAAAAATAGAAGCAACATACATATCCAATTGCCAGAGAATTGTTGGGTGTAAAATATGATGGATCTACTTGAAAGAATGTGATGGCAGATATTAAAAAATAAGTTTGAAGGGGATGCCTGTGTGGCTCAGTCGGTTAAGCATCTGCCTTCGGCTCAGGTCATGATCCCAGCATCCTGGGATCGAGCCCACGCCAGTCTTCCTATTTAGTGGGGAGCCTGCTTCTCCCTCTCCCTCTACTGTTCCCCCTGCTTGTGTTCTCTCTTTGTCAAATAAATAAGTAAAATTAAAAAAAAAATAAGTTTAAGGTATGTAAATAAACACAATTTCAGATAAAAACATGAAAAAAATTAACTTTAAGATATACAGAAATGTTAATAGTCATTGGGACATAATGACAAAAATTAGAGTTGAATTTGTTTTATAATTTTCATAATACTCTGTAATATTGTTGCTTTTGTAATGCATGGTAAAAGGGAGTGTGTGGTAAAGATTCTCTCCAGTGGAAATGGGAGAAAAGGGAAGTTGGCATGAGTATAAACCTTTTCAGGGAGAGTGTGAAGGTAATAAATTGGAATTAGAATCAAACAGTGCCTGTGTAAGCCACCAGGGGGCGACACCAGCCCAGAGCAGGTTGATTGATATCTCAGAGCAAAGTGGCAGCAACCTTGGACATTAGAGTGTCGTTGACTTTTTAATCTACAGGATGTTTACAAATTAAGTTTGTAATTCTATTTATGAATCTGCCCATGTTGATGGAATAAGATTCCCCGTAAAAATAAACTATCTGCTTCCTGTTTAGAGTGAAATTAAGTAGATATCTGTTTGGTGGTTTGTTTCCTGATGAACTCCATTTCCTATAACTGATTGGCTAATATTTAAAGACCAAAAGTTTGAAAGATGACAGAGTACTCTGTTCATTCTATAAAACCATTGCAACTTGGCATTATTCAATTTTCTTTCAGCTTCGTGGTATGTCCCATTTACCAAGGACAAGAAGGGGGGAATTCAGAGAGAGAATAAATTGGGTGTTTGTTTGCTCAGCTGGTTTCCAAGGAATAGTCAGTTCCTAAGTTTTTTAGTTCGTAAAGTTCCTTGAGAGTGAAACTCAGAAGAGGGATTGAGGGCCCAGGGCTGTTTCTCAGTTCCCTCTGGCTCATCTCTGCATGAGTGAGAAAAAGCACTACACCCCAATGGCAAACATCAGTGGGTGAGGTAAACGGAGCAGGTGTTGAGGATCTCTGGGTGGTTCTAGGATCTTTGCCAATAGATGAATCTTATCAAGAAATGGGACTAGCCCTAGCCCTGCTTTCTTTATGGGCTTGCACTCTTGAGAAAGAAAGCAGCTGTTTTGGTCATTTTTTGGTCAATGACTTTGTTTAAGTTCTGAGTTCCTACATATCACAGAGCATTGAGTTAACTAGTCTTTTCCTGGAACTTTAAAATGAGATATGTTGGGGCGCCTGGGTGGCTCAGTCAGTTAAGCCTCTGCCTTTGGCTTAGGTCGTGACCATGGGATCGAACCCCACGTTGGGCTTCCTGCTATCTGCTTCTCCCTCTCCCTATGCTGCTCCCTCTGCTTGTGCTCTCTCTTTCTCTCAAATAAATAAATAAGTAAAATCTTTTTAAAAAATTAAAAAGAAATGAACTATGTTGAGTCCTGTTCTTTTTTAAAAAATATCTGATACTACCTAAAAATATAGATGCAGTTTCTCTCATGGTGTTGTTGTGTCTGTCAATGTGGTATATCCTGCAGCAGAAACTCTTTCCTTCAGCGTTGTTGGAGGAAAGAGGCATTTCAATCCTCCAAATTCTATTTTGGAGTAAAGTACTATAACCTAGAGCAGGTATTCACAAACGTCATCTTTTGAGGGCAAAAGGATAAGTACTGTAGGCTTCCCAGGCCAGCGTTTTAGGATTTATGGGCCATATACAATCTGTTGTTACTCACCTCTGTCTTTGTAGTACAAAGTACCCACAGCCAATGTATAAACTAATGAGCACCGTTACATGCCAATAAAACTTTATTTGCGACACTGAGATTTGAATTTTATGTAATTGTCATGTGTCACAAAATAGTATCCTGTTTGATTTTTGTCAAGTGTTTAAAAATTTAGATCTTAGCTCATAAGCCATACAAAGAAAAATGGCAAGCCAGATTTGGCCCTCGGGTCATAATTTGCTGACCCCTGTCCTAGATGGACAAGTAAGTGACAGTTCTTTTTTAAGATTTTATTTATTTATGCTTATGAGGGCAGGCAGGGGGAGGGGCAAAGGGAGAGGGAAAGAGAATCTCGGGCAGGCTCCACACAGAGCCTGATGTGGGGCTCTATCTCATGACCCTGAGATCATAACCTGAGCCAAAGTCAAAAGTCAGCCGCTGAACCAACTGAGACACCCAGGTGCCCTGGCAAGTGACAGTTTTGAAGGACCTCTTTGGAGTGTGAAGCTTACAGACCAGTCAAAGATATTATAAATCTCAAGTCGCCTCTGGATCTGGTTGTTAGCAGAGAGGAGAGTGGGGTCTGGTTCAGAAACCGGCATTGGGAGGAATTGAAGAAGAAAAGGGGAAAGTGAACAGGGAAGAATGAACTGATGAATGCTAAGAAATTCCTTTTCTTCCTTCCTTGTGTTTGCTGCAGTTCAAATCTAAGTGAAATGACCGGCCAAGTAGCAGAGTGACACAGAGAAATTCAAATGATCATTCCCCTGCCCCAATGGCTCCAAAAAGCCTTTCCAAGTTGAGCTGTGTAAATGGCGTGTGAGACTAAGAGCACAGTTCTAAAATTTCTCTTACCCCTGAGGAGGTTGTGAGGCTGGTTCCTCCCCAGCAGCCCTCAGAACTTTGTGATTTTCTGCTCTTTTTCGCAGCACTGTGGCCATTGTAATTTCAAATATTGGTTCTGTTGTCCTCCAATTTAAGACATTGGCTCTGAAATGTTAATCTCTGAGAGTCAAAATTAAATCTCCCAGATTGCCTTCCTCCCCCGAGTGTGGTGCCAAAACCTATTTTTTTTTTTTTTAATTGGAAAATGTCATTAGCCTTCTGCTGCTGCCTTGGCCTCTCTGCCCTGGGAGACCAGACCATCCCTCCCGGCCTACAGGAATCCTCCCTGTGTCAGGCAAATGTCCGGGTTCTGCCTCTGCTCCTCTTTGCCCCAGGCCTCTATTACTGTTCTTATCTGTGGGCCGCCCTTGCTGTGAAGTCTCTCCTTGGTGATTGCTGGTTTCCCAGGGAGCCTTCTCTCTACCAGTTCCTGTGGTGTCACCCTGGCCCAGCTCTCTTCCCTGGCCTCAGCCCCCTTAGGAAAGTGTCCCCACTTTCCTAAACCTCCCGAGCTCCTCTTAGCTCCTTTGTTCTGCTCCTCCCACCTCTTCCCTAATTTGCCTGGTCCTCCTCCACACATTTCTCCTCTGTCCCATCGCTCTAGAAATAAACCACAGCATCTGGTAGAGAGGCAGTGTCACCAGATTCGGATTTAGCAATTTGTATTTTTCCATTTTGCGCAAGTTTCTACGAAATGTCAAGTTTCAACAGTTTGGGGATTTACTGAACAAGCTGATATGTTTGTCTTTTTTTAACCTTCCTTAGCATGGAAATATTTAAGTCTCCTTTTATTTTCTTTACATTTTTCAGATTTTCCAACTTCGGCCAGAACGAATTCGCCAAGCCCAGAGTTAACCCAAGAAGATTCTTTTATCCATGGCCAGTCTTCACAGGGAGTCGCTCCCACCCCCACTCCTGTGACAGGGTATTCAAAGCCCACCGATAGCTTCTGGAGAGATGCATTTTCTCAGAAGTTTGGATCCTCAGATCACTCAGAGAAACTATTCAAGATCGGTCAAGCAAGTACACCGTTCCCTGTTTATAAAGAAAAAGGCCATTCACAGAGTTCACAGTTTTCCTCAGAGCAAAAAATAGCTCGTCTCCTACCTGTGACAACGCTCCCTACGATGATGACCGTTGCTTCTCAGCGTATCACCTCTACCCCCCCAAAGCCTGCATTGCCCCCCACCACCAATGCTCCTGTGATACCTTCTGTGACTTCTGAACCAGAGATGGCCACCTCAGCTCCAGCCCTAGCCCAGGGCAAGTCGCAGCCCCCCACAACCCTCTTGTCTACCGTTTTGACCCAAGCTGTGGTTATACCCAAAGCTAGCATAACTACAGCAGCTGTTTCAAACGCCATCTCTGAGGCGCCCATAGACTGGAAAAGCTCTGCAGAAATGGTGCCCTTTCAAGAAATTTCCAGCCTCACTTCAAACACAGAGGATGCCCAGAGTAACCCCATTACACTTTCTCTGTCAACGGTGGATTCGTCTGCAGCTATGCTGCTTTTGTCAGATGTGGTTTCTTCTGCTCCAAATAAAACTGCTTCCTGGGAAAATGAGAAGGCCAGACCTGGTGGTTCCTCCCTGAACAGTGTTCCAGAAAGTCAACACGGCCTTCCATTTGAAAAATGGCTCCTCATCGGAACCCTGCTCTTTGGGGTTCTGTTCCTAGCCATAGGCCTTGTCCTTTTGGGTAGAATGTTCTCAGAATCCCTCCGCAGGAGACGTTATTCGAGACTGGATTATTTGATCAATGGGATCTATGTTGACATCTAAGAAGGAAACTAGATGTCTCTTAATTCACGTAGTTGCTAGTAGCCCCAACCCAGTGTCTCCCTGCTGACTCACTGGTCGTAGCAGGATTTCTGAAGCACCATGAAGAAGGTAGATGCCCCCTACAACTTTCTTTTTGCTTGGTGTTTGAAGACAAGAGGAGAAAGGAAACTAATTAGGTAATTTGAGTGACTTAGCTCTAAAATATTTGCTGAAAACAAAGCTCAACCTAAAGTAATAAAGTGTAATTGGCATATAAATTAAAAAATGACTGGCTTTTTGCAAGGAAAAGTGGTTAGGACTTTTGGGCTCCAGTTCATTAACATTTCTGGTTCCAGATAAAGCCAACTGTTTATGATATTAATTCTAATGGATTTACTTTCCTTTTTATATGAAGTCCAATAAAAGTTATTCCAGATGTATTTCCTTCCAATTAAATATTTGAATAAATGTTTTGTTACTCAGTAATGTTCTTGTAAGTGACGCATCCAGCTGGATAACTTTCAATTTATTCCCACCAGCAAAATGATTAAATGATGAAAATATGTGTTCTAAGTTAAAATGGCAAACTCCCCCCCCCCTTTTCCCATCAGTGAGCAAAGAGGTTCCTTTGGGAGAATTCTAGCAGAAGATTAGCCTATGTGGAGACAGTGATAAGTCCATTCTGATAAATAGCCAAGTCTACTTTGGTCCATTCTGGTTAAATATCCTGCCCCCTGCCCCCAAAAGTAATACAGGAATTTTCTAAACTTCACCAAGTTTAAAACATAGCAATGATATTTAGAAATCCTTATCGAAATTTCACCAACAGTCAATTTTGGCTTTATTTGGAATAACATAGAAAATAACAGATAACACTTAACATTATTGTTAAATGATTACGCTACTGTAATTTTTATGTGCATTTTAAACATTTATTTATTTGTAACTCCAGTGGAGTTAACACACAGTGTTAACTGGTGTACGACAAGTATGCTGTAATTTTTATTGATTAGTTATTGAAATGTCTGAGGCATGACATTTAATAAAAAGGGTTTGCCCGATGAGGTACAGTTAGGTACCTAAGAATCCAGGAAACCACCTGGGTCAGTTGGACACCTCAGTCTCTGGACTTCAGTTTGCTCATCTGCAAAACAAGAGATTGTCCCTGGAGTCCTGGATTTTTAGATGAAAATGGAATTCAGAAGGGAACTTAACACAGTGAGCACTAGAGGGCAGTAGCTGGTTAGTAAGTACAGCAATGAAGACAAACGTAGGAAATGACAGAAACAGGCTTTTCTCCTGTTTCCTCCTTACCTCCTCCTTCTGCTGGATAGACAGACAGACAGACACACACACACACACACACACCAGTTTACACCAAGCTCATAAAGCTCATTAACAGGAAAGCCAGTCTAGTGAAAATTCTACTTTTCATATATTTTCCAACTTAACAGCTTGACACAAATCTCCAAGGGGTTTACATAAGCTTTAAGTAGGTTGAATAAATAAAACTTTGAATCAATTTAACAAGTATTTATTGAATATCCACATGTAGGCCAGAATCAGATTAGTAACTAAATGCCTTGGAATTTTAAAATGTCTCCTCTCTTTGTTAACTGAATTGGTTAGTGGGAATCTAGCTTTCTGTGGGTGTTTAGAAACATTTTCTTCTGGCTCTTTCATAGCTCTCTGTCTACCTTTTTGCACTGCATTCTTTCTGGCAAGGGAGAGACTTGAGCAGGAGCCCAGATGAGGGGTGCTTTGGGCCCCGACTCTGGGAGGGAGTCTGGGATGTGCATTGTGGGGGAACAGCTGGATTTAAGACATGCATCTAAGGAGGAAAGGGAGCTCTTCTCATGCAGCTCTCCCTGCTTATAACCCCCTGCTGCTGGGTCAGTGAAGGGAGCCTGCCTATGCTTTCTTGCAAGTAACTTTAACAGTGACTAGCTTGGTCAACCTTTTAGACAAGGTGAACTGAATTATGAGCCCCCTCCTTTGGTTTGTGGGAAGGGAAGGTGACAGCTAAGAAGGAACCAGAATATCAGGAAGGAAGCCCTGCTTAAAAATATCCTCTCCATATTTTACCAACAGGACTTTTCCTGGGTTCAAAAGCTATTCTTTTTTTTTTTTTTTAATTTATTTAAACTTTATTTTTTCAGTGTTTCAAGATTCATTGTTTATGCACCACACCCAGTGCTCTATGCAATATGTGCCCTCCATAATACCCACCACCAGGCTCATACAACCCACACCCCACTCCCCTCCAAAACCCTCAGTTTGTTTCTCAGAGTCCACAGTCTCTCATGGTTTGTCTCCTTCTCCAATTTCCCCCAACTCACTTCTCCTCTCCAACTCCCAATGTCCTCCGTGTTATTCCTTATGTTCCACAGGTAAGTGAGACCATATGATAATTGACCCTCTCTGCTTGACTTATTTCACTCAGCATAATCTACTCCAGTCCCCTTTTATCCATGTTGATACAAAAGTTGGGTATTCATCCTTTCTGATGGGGGCATAATACTCCATTGTATATATGGACCACAGAGGATGTGGAGAAAGGGGAACCCTCTTACACTGTTGGTGGGAATGCAAGTTGGTGCAGCCACTTTGGAAAACAGTGTGGAGACTCCTTAAGAAATTAAAAATAGAGGGCGCCTGGGTGGCTCAGTGGGTTAGGCCGCTGCCTTTGGCTCAGGTCATGATCTCAGGGTCCTGGGATCGAGTCCCGCATCGGGCTCTCTGCTCGGCAGGGAGCCTGCTTCACCCTCTCTCTCTCTGCCTGCCTCTCTGCCTACTTGTGATCTCTCTCTGTCAAATAAATAAATAAAATCTTAAAAAAAAAAAGAAATTAAAAATAGAGCTTCCCTATCACCCTGCAATTGCACTGCTGGGTATTTATTTACCCCAAAGATACAGATGGAGTGAAAAGAAAGGGCCATCTGTACCCCAATGTTTATAGCAGGAATGGCCACAGTCACCAAACTATGGAAAGAGCTAAGATGCCCTTCAACGGACGAATGGATAAAGAAGATGTGGTCCATACGTACAATGGAATATTATGCCTCAAAAGCTATTCTTAAAACAGCTAATGACCTCTGAAGGGTGAAGCCTATGGCTGACTCGCTCTGAATAAAGACTTCTACACTCTTATTTCTCAAGAACCTCCTGCCTGAGTGAGGCATCTTTGAAACTACTTCAAAGGCTGTGGTAGGCGCTACAGTTATCCATACAACAGCCGGGCCCAGTTTCACTTTTGCCTCGTTTGTTGTAGGTTAGAAGTGTCAGAATTTTTCCCAGCCCCTCTTGAAGTTAGGCATGGGCCTATGGCCCAGTTCTAGCTGAAAGGAAACCTACTAGGGGCTTCTAGGAAAAATTCTTCTCCTTAATAAGTGAGGGTGGCACAAAGAAAAAAGTCCTTTTTCCTTCCAACCCTCCTTTCCTACTTGGAATGCCAGTTGTATAAGGGCATGATACTTGGAGCAATTTCAGCTTTTCTGGCACCATGAAGGGAAACATCACTAACAAGCTGAGTATGGCAAAGTGCTATATGGGAAGAGACTGGTCCTTCATAACTTGGTTATCAAGCAACAGCACCAGCTCTGGAACAGTCCACTTAAAATCTTGTTCCATGATAAGTCTCTAACATTTATACCATTTTTAGTTGAGAATTCCATTACTTATTAATAATGATAGCAAATACTTATAACGTACTTGACAATGTGCCAGGCACACTTCTACATTTATGAACTTGTTCCTGTAACAGCCTCATGAAGAACTTATTTTGCAAGCAAGGAAACTGAAGCACAAGAGGTTGAGGTCTTGCCTAGGGTCACCTGCCCAGGTAATCCGGCTCTAGCATTCTCACTCTACATTCTTTTAACTGGAAATCATACACAGTGTAATCAAAAAAGAGGTTTGCAATAAACAAGACACATTTTAGAAAACAGCTTTTTTTTTTTTTAAGATTTTATTTATTTATTTGACAGACGGAGACAACAAGTAGGCAGAGAGGCAGAGAGGCAGAGAAGGGGAAGCAGGTTCCCTGCTGAGCAGAGAGCTGATGCGGGGATCAATCCCAGGACCCTGAGATCATGACCTGAGCCAAAGGCAGAGGCTTAACTCACTGAGCCACCCAGGTGCCCCTAGAAAAATAGCTTTTAAATGGTGTTGAACTGAACTGTTCAGAACTACTTAAAGAGACTTTAAAAAAAATATTTATTTATTTTGAGAGAGAGAGTATGCCCACAAGCAAGGAAAGGGGCAAAAGGAGAATCCTAAGCCCACAACCCGTGAGATCATAACCTGAGCTGAAACCAAGAATTGGACACTTAACTGACTGAGCCACCCAGGTTCCCCTTAAAGAACTTTTAAGTTATGTTTTACTTTTAGCCCAAAGCCTGGCAATTAAGATCAGTGGTCTCATTCTGGGGTAGGCTTCATGCACTTTGTTGGCCGCTGACATCCTGTCTTCTTGTTTGGGCACTGACCACCTGTGGTGCTGTCAGTGTTGATTCTTAAGCCAGGAGCACACCGCAGTCAAGAACCCAACCTGTTCTGAATTGACCTCAGTCAACAGTACCACCAGCCACCCAGTCTCCCTTGTATTGAGCAACTTCAAAGTCACACTCTATTTCTGCTTCCTCCTCAGCCTCCACATCCAGTGTTTACCACATATTATCTCTTCTCTTTCAGAAATGCTTCTCAAGTGACTTGGGGTATTTGGAGGGGGGGACAAACCATGAGAGACTGTGGACTCTGAGAGACAAACTGAGGGGTTTGAAGGGGGAATGGGGGGCTTGGGTGAGCCTGGTGGTGGGTATTATCGGGGGCACGTATTGCATGGAGCACTGGGTGTGGTGCATAAAAAATGAATTTTGGAACACTGAAAAAAAAAACTGTTATAAACATTTGGGTCCAGCAATCTGTCAATGTAAACATTAAGTTCCAATAAAGAATCCCACTTCAGGGGAAAAAAAAAAAGAAATACTTCTCAAAGTCAGCCCTCCCCCCCCACCCCCTACCCTGCCACCTCCTGTTTGGTCTCCTAACCTGTTTTTCCTTACAGCCAAGTTACACACTCCCTCTGCACAACCTCCCATTACCTTAAAAGTATGACAAACACATGCATGCACGGGGTGCCTGGCTGGCTGAGTCAGTGGAGCTGGAGTCTCTTGATCTCAAGATTTTAAGTTCAAGTCCTGTGCTGGGTATAGAGGTTACTTAAAAATAAAATCTTGGGGCGCCTGGGTGGCTTAGTCGGTTAAGTGTCTGGCTCTCTTCTATATATATATATTTTTTTTAAGATTTTATTTATTTGACAGAGAGAGAGATCACAAGTAGGCAGAGAGGCAGGCAGAGAGGGAAGCAGGCTCCCTGCTGAGCAGAGAGCTAACACAGGGCTTGATCCCAGGACCCTGAGACATGACCTGAGTCAAAGACAAAGGCTTAATCCACTGAGCCACCCAGGCGCGCCCCTAGCATCCCAC